GGGAGAGTCGGTGCATGTAACGTACTGTACTTTAATAACCTTACTCTCATGCTTTTCTTTCTTGTGTTAATAAACCTTTAGTTGTTAGATGCTAAAGGATTGGCCCAGCGTGATTTGTGGGTAAGGTCCAAAGGATAAATTGACCAGAGATCTGTGGCTGGTTTCCTGGAACCGGACAGAACTTGTTCTGGGTAGGTGGGATTGGGTGCTAGGACCCCCCACCTGTGTATGAGGTCCGGGGCCATGTGGGGCACGGTTATTGCTGGGGTGTCGGAGGGGTTTCGCTCATGAGGCTTCAGGCAGGCTGCTGAAGCGCTCTGTGGGACTGGTTTGTGGCCTGTTTGGAGAGGTCACCAGTCTGGGGGCTGTAAGGAGCCCCAGATTCGAGCAATTCGCCCTGAGCGGACGCCCTCAGCTGTGCCCAGACACGGCCCGGTCTGTCACACACAGTTATCAGAAAGAATGTGTTTCAGGTTAGGGGGTTGTCTGTAAGCAAGAATAGGTTTTTCTCCTAAGGCCTCAGAGTTAGGGATCATTTTCCAAGATGGGTTGTAGATTGTGTAGAATGCGTTGGAGGGGTCTGAGTTGTGGACCGTAGGTAAACTTTTGTACTTTTACTCAAGTAACTGAGTACTTTTCCCACCCGTGCACAGTTTTGAGAACAATAATAAACTTAAGATGTGGCCAATTTTATATACATAGTACTTGACATCAGTTTACTAAAATGAGAAGAAGCAAAGGACGAAAGGCTAGTGTTAAAAGAAATGGAAATTTGAAAACAAAAAATTGTTATACTCTTGCTTCCACTTCTCTGTCTGTAAGTTGTCCACTTGCACTAAGCTTTTCAGGGTAGGCATTTGGACTTTGCCAGTAAAGCACATAGCACACTTCTGGCATTAAATGCAGCTAAATGCTCACTACACCTGAGAGCATTACAATATACACCCATTGCATGTACAAACTTGTTTAACCTTAACAGAGAAAAGTGCACAAAAATAAAGTTACTATCTAATATATCCAGTGCTCATTAGAAACAAATGCAAGTTTGCTAGTTTAGTACTAATGACACTGCAAGTGTTTTTGTTGTCCTCTTTCCTGTTATGTGTAATTTTGAAAATTTCTAATAATATCCTACAAGCACAAACATTTTGTATATAGAAAGTGCTTTGGATGCAGACTTTACATAAGATTCAATTAAGAGCCTCTTCCTACTTAAGAAATAAGACACATGAAGCAAAAAATTGTCCATGTCAGACTGGCATTTATTGTTTTAAGAATGTATGCCCAATATCTTAAATATACTTTAAAATTTAAGAAATTGTTCAGATAAAAACTGAAGCCTTTGAACCTTATAAAGGTGGCTTCCTCAATCTTATTTGAAAGCCCACAGTCCAGTAAGTTATACATTTAAGGTTTAGACATTTTAGTAAATCAAGTGAATTTCGGACATGCTACGGTATGTACATCACCCCAAAATTATATAAAACAATACACAAGGATTTTGTTGAATTAATAATATTGCTTGGGATTATAAAATACAGCAAAGTCTGAAATACTTGAAAACCATAGGCTTCCTAAAAGCAATAATATTTGTAACTAAGTTTTCTTCCTCCACTCCTCGTCCTAACCTTCAAGTACACCAATGACATAAAAATCATCTACTATATTACATAAGCCACTGATGTGGAAGATGAGTTTTTTTTAAAAGCTGTGTAACTTCAAAATAAAAAATTAAGTGGCAGACACAGAATTGCAAGGAATCCAATGACAGTGTTTGCCATACTCTGCATATTGTAATCTATTTTCTGCTTTTGTTTGTCCATGGAAATAATGGAGTGTTTAGGTTGAAATGTTGCAAATGGGGTGGCTCAACAATGAATACTCCAGTGTTTTTATCAATCAACAATGGTAGGAACTACTTTGGTGTCAGTTAATATATTCCATTCAAAGTGGCATACAATTATCCCTTCAATTCTAAATAAAACTATGCAGTAGTCTGTTGTCATGATGGAATTATACAAGTACGTCAATGCTACCTCTATAGTAACGTGTCATGGACAATTTCCCATAAGTTACTTAAATATGCAAATGATCTTTAAAATGTTAAAGACCAAATTTCACCCAGTTTTATGCACATATCTTCCACTGAGGACAAATGAATTATGCACGTGTGAGGGCAAAAATCTGCCCTAATTCTGATTATGTTAAGATGTGCTTTTTTGGACCCCATTGCAAAAAACCTTTGGAATATTTTTCAAGTTTCAAAAATTGCAATTAATGCACTTTTTAAATGCATGACCATTTTATTTTAATATTTTCCAGCTCACTAGGCTATGAAAACCTATGGAATAATTTATGACATCTGTAAGCACTAAGCAGTAACACTGAATAGCATTTTTAACAAAGAAAAGGTAACATGCTGTGCTTCCTTTTTAAAGCATATATAAAAAGAATGTTTATAACTATATGTTTTCACATTTATATCCAACAATAATTACTTTTTCTATGTTGTATTCAAAAGTAGTCTTTTAGCATATGTAAACTTTAAGTTTTCCCTTTAGTATGAATTCAGCCTATAAAAATACAGTATAGACAAATTCTTCTCATTCCCTGACATAAGGATTCACAATTTTGACACAAAAATTGTAAACTTTTGATTACATTCAAAATACAATTCTTAAATCTTTAAATTTTCAAGTTAAGTTTGAGGTTTTGGCAGTCAGAGCCCTCAGTATATAGCAGAATTACATTATTGCAGAGCCTTTTACGTAAAGGAACTTACTAAATCACAGACATTCACTTTTCTCTTATGTTGCTACCAGGAGGAAAAGAAAGGTTTCCTGCTATGAAAGGTCTGTGTGAATGCATTATTCAGATGAACAATTCGGCCCTGACTTCCAGTACTACTTCGCTCCACAACCACGCGTGGCATCTGTACTAGCTGAATTGGACTCCTTCCATCTTTTAATGCCTGAGTAAGGTTTAGTATCTGCAGAAATAAAACAAAATAAAGTAAGTGGTACCCCCATCAAATTTCATTGTTCAGCTTGTTTGTTTAGATGCTACTCTTAGCTTTTTCCTAAAAAGAATTTCATTATTTTACTTGCAGTTCAAAAACATGAGACCGTATTCAGCAGCTGAATGTTCCATTAATCCAGGGCTACTCAACTTGGGAAGCCCCAGGGGCCAAAACTATAGTCACCGAGGGTCTCAACTTAAGTATGGTTGCATATACAAGCAAATATATATGCAGATAGCTTCTTTCACACAATGCCTGAGTATTCCTGGCACCACCTCCCTGGGGGCTAGAAATGCCCTATCTGTACCTATCTGTTCTAGCCAGCCTGTCCACTTTCATCTTTCAGTGCTCACCCTGTCTGGGAGATGCCTTGTTGTTCTGTCATGTGTTCCCAGTGGAGGCCATGTGCAAAAGAATCCCACCTGCAGGCCATGTGTTGAGCCCCGCATAAACCCAAACCATACCGTGGGCTGCAAACACACACCACAGGTTGCATGCGGCCCACGTGTTGAGTAGCCCTGCATTAATCTCTTCCCTTGAGAGTATACGCACGAAACACTGTATTAAATATATCTCGTAAAGCAAGTTTTCTGAACTACTAGAATGAGCTATTAATATAGAAATGCTTTCAAGTCTACACAGTCCAGCATATCTCCAAAGAAATCCATATCTTAACACATAGGAGAGCCATCAACATTCTCTTAGCTTAGAAGTTTGCCAGCTAAGATTTTAGCTATGAAATAACTCTCACATCACAAGCAAATGATTACAGGCTAAATTAATGACCCATCCGAATAGCAGTTATCCTAGTTATTCCCTCATGTCTTTCATGAACCCTCGTTGCCCCTGAAATATAATGGAAATAGAAAAAAAATTGTGTAAGATGGAAAGTTTTAGGGGATCACTAACTTTAGTGATATTATAGCCTTTACAAAGAGAAGTGTCTAAATTTTTAGTTACATGGATCTTTGAACAATACATGATTTAAGGGAAAATAATGTCTCTTTATGCAGATAGTAACTGCTAGGCCTACTTAGTTTGTGTCTCCTGTGAATCAACAGACATTTTGGTGTAATTCTTGAAATAACTACAGAAAATTGCTTGAAATACAGTAATTCCTCATTTAACACTATAGATATGTTTCAGAAAATGATCGTGTTAAGTGAAAACATGTTAAAACGGGGACTGGGTTGAGAGCATGCCCCTTTGACAGGTCCGCCGGGACCTGCCTGCATCTAGCGAGAGGGAAGGTGTCGCTGGGGAAATGCACGACGAATGGCGAACCCTCCGCCGCTTTGCAGGGAGGTGGGGGAAGCCCTGCACAGCCACCAGCGATGGGCTGGCTGGGAAAACCCAGCCGCCAGCCTACGAGCGAGGGTAGAGGAGAGGGGGCAAGGCGTTCAGTGAGGGAGAGTCAACAGGGAACGGCGCGGTGAGCGGCAAACCATCCGCTGCTTTTCAGGGAGGTGGGGGAAGCCCCGCGCAGCCCCCAGCAACAGGCTGACAGGGGAAATCGTGTTATTCTGGAGACAGTCATGTAATTCAAAAACGTTCTCCCCCCCCAAAAAAAAAGAAAAAAAAAAAAAAAGAAAAAGAGTGCTACCGCGAAAACGTGTTAAGTGGGCAAGTGTTAAATGTGGAATTACGGTACAAAAGGGTTTAACAATTCTCGAGACTATGGTATTTAACAGTAAAATCTTAGCTAAATCTCTGTTTTTAAAAAAGGCTTTCTAAAATTATTACTGATTCTAAATTAAAGGTTTTGCAGAACTCTTCTGTTTAAATAACCTATTCTTAGTGGCAAGTTACCTCCATGTCATGAAGAGGTTACTCACTGGAATGATTTTGGTGCTTGCTGAATACTTCCTAGTGATAACTTTGTGAAGAAGGGAATGCGACTTTCATATGGCTGCACGCCAAACTTCATTCACAATTTCTTTCAGAATCTAGGCTTAATAGTTTATTTTGAGAAATATGCTTTTACTGGAATTTTTTTTTCCAGAAAGAGCTACTTAATTTACCAGGTCTATACTTGACTTGGAAAGCAGGAAAGCGGTATCAGTGCCAGGGACTTGTGTGAAAAGGGGTCGGATTAACCCTGAACAATGCTATCACAAAAATTAACATTCATAACTTCTACACTCTTCAGGCTCAAATCAAGAGCACAAGGAAATCAAATTTAATAAGATCTTAAGGCTAGAAGGGACCATTAGATCACCCCCTCTGGCCTCCTATATATCACAGCCAATTACAGCTGCTCCCCGAGTTAAGAACAGTCGAGTTACGACCGTTCGCTCTTACGACCAAAGCTCCCATGGAGCGGTCGTAAGTGCAGTCCCCGAGTTACGAACACGACCCGCACTTACGAACAGCGCGGTCGCGTGTAACTCAATGGGGTCCGAGTTACGAACAGCTCGAGTTACGGCCAAGTGTTTGGTCCATAACTCGTTTGTAACTCGGAGAGAGGCTGTAAACTTAACCCAGCTATTCCAGTATTGTGCCTCATCCCTCTTACAGAAAGTCATCCAAGTCTTGATTTAAAACAGTGGTCCCCAACGCGGTGCCCACGGGCACCATGGCGCCCACCGGGGCATTTGTGCGCGCCTACCGACAACCTGGGCCGGCCCTGCCCCCAGCGCGCGGCGCACGGGAGGTGCCGGCCCCAGGCGCGCGACACAGACCAGCACCGGGGCCCATGGCACAAGGCGCTCGGACGGCCCCAGCCCCGGCGCCGGGTGCAAGGGCATCCCCGTCCCTTGCATGCCCCTGGACGCACGGCCCCGGGTGCCCGGGAGCCTCTAAAGGTTGGGGACCACTGATTTAAAGACATCAAGGGATAAAGAATCTATCATTTCTCTTGGTGGTTTGTTCCAGTGACTAATCACTCTCACTTTGTTAAGAAAATATAAACTATTTCTAATTTAAAATTGGCTTCAAATTCAAGTAATTGGTTCTTATGAATCTAACAAAGGGCATCGATTATGTCCTCCTTTGCTGGATTTAGGGGCTCTTTCTCTTCCTCCTATGAAGGTATTTACACTCCAATCAAATCATCTTATTTTTCTTATTGATAGAGTTCTATCTGTTCTGTTTAAGTCTCAATACAAGGCTGTTTTCTCAAGTTTCAATCACTGTTATGGCTCTGCTGTACCTGCTCCAATTTTTCCAACATTCTTTTAAAAATGCTGACTACGGAATTGAATACAATGTCTCATTATAGCTCACCAATGCCTTGTATAGGGGTAAAACTTCCACCTTATACCTCCAACAATCACATTAGCCTTTTTTGCAATAGCACTGCATAGGAAAGTACATTCAGTTGTTTATCCACAATGACCCCAAAAACTTTTCAGAATCATGGTTTCCAGAATACCAGCCCCCCTTTCTGTAGATTTGGTCTGCATTCCTCATTCCTACTACTTTGCACTAGGCTGTATTAAAACCATTTTGTTTGATTGGGCCCACTATATCAAGCAATCCAGCTTTTTCCTCCAGTCTGTGTCATCCATAAATTTTAATGACCAGTGGCTTAATATTTACTTTCAGATCATTGACAAAAATGCTGAATAGCCCTGGGTCCATCACTGATTGCTGCAAAAAAACCCACCAAAAGCACCTCCATCCAATGATGATTCCCTAATGACAATTATTTTGAAATCTATCAGTGAGCCAGTTCTAAATCCATTCATTGTGTTTTCTAGGTTTATAATGCTTTGCCCCTTTTTAAACACAATTTGTACAATGCTAAGTCAAATGCTTCACACATGTCAAAGGTAACTACAGGCAGTCCCCGGGTTACGTACAAGATAGGGACTGTAGATTTGTTCTTAAGTTGAATCTGTATGTAAGAACTGGCGTCCAGATTCAGCCTGTTGAAACTGATCAGCGGCTGATTCCAGGAAGCCCGGGGCAGAGCAACGCTGCCTCGGGCTTCCTGTAGTCAGCCGCTGGTCAGTTTCAGTAGCGGCTGGATCTTGACGCCAGGTCCGACTTACATACAGATTCAACTTAAGAACAAACCTACAGTCCCTA